CTTATCTTCTACCAGAAAGAATGACCTAGCAATGTGTACTAAGCTCATATATTCAGGAGCTTTTGCTCTTTCTTTCCCTACATGGCAATACACTTTATGGGAAATTGAACAGAAGTAGTGAAACTGTGATATTTTGGAGTGATTGCTGCTGTTTATTGCAAAATGTGCCTCATGAAATGAAGCCCATATTAGACAGCTCATAAAGGGAGTAAATCTCTGGTCAGAACAGAAATCCCCAGGCAGATCTTGCGGAGTGATAGAGCTGTTCAGTGTCTGGGCTGTGATGCTTATGAGTTGCTCATTTCTCTTCTGATGTGTGTTATGTTGTATTTTTGTTTGTGACTTTTACCTCATTTCATTTAGTTGGGCTCAAGGGAGGGGGTCCTTAAAATTCAATTCAGTCCTCTCTGGTCTTGCAAATCTTGGTGTTAACCAGTTCTGTGTGCAAGTAGCTGAAATGTTCTACTACTGCTAATGTAAAAGATTGGATGGTTTCTCTGTTTTCCCTCCACAATCAATACCTTTTTGCTAGTCTGAAAGATAAGGGCATGGACTTTTAGTGCAGTCACAACTCATAACTAAGGATTTATATCTATACAGATTCTGCATACTGTAACAATAATATGCCCATTTCTTGAGGTTCTGATCCTGTGTGCACACTATGATATCTCAGTGGAACAAGCATTTTTTGTGATTTATCTCTGAAGAAATAACAGCAAATAAATAATTCACTGCTCCTCCTGCAGTCCAGCTTTGGCCTTGTAGCTGTGTCTAAATCTGTCTCTATTTTTTGCCTTGGGGTAGCAGAGCATTTAAGTTTAACAAGTGCTCTATTGTTTTTAGGAATATCTGAGGAGGCAATACATTTTGCCCTGTGGCAACTTGAAACTTCTTTTTGAAGTATCACTTTTGGAAATACACACTGGATAGTCCTGTATTGTTTCCATGACCTGGTTCAGGAGCAGTTCAGTGTGTACTAAGCTTCTTTACTAGTGGGTCAGCTCAGCTGATTAATGAGAACTTCCAAATCACTGACAGTTACTAAATTCGCTCCACTTGGAACCATTGAGCTGTTTTTGCTTGGAGACAGATTTGTTAATGTATTTGCTGGCAGCAATCAGTAATTTATTTTATATTGATTGTAATCTTTAAGTGGAAATCAACCTAAAGATGGATTGCTTGAGTGTAAGAGTTATTAATTGCTGTGGAAAGACTTAGCTTACATTCTAGGGAACAAGAACATACAGTTGTTTGCTTGTACTGCTTTTGTGATGTTAGAAGTAACAGTAGGTCTTCTGCTAGAACATAGCTATACTGTGTCATAACCACCTTTGATCAGATCTTGTGCACATCAGCAGCACTCCAGAAATCAGCATGAGTGTTTCCAGAAGACAAGAAAAATCTTGCTTTTAATCATTTGTTCATGATAGTAAAAAGCACAAATGACAGAAGTCTGTATATTGCTTTGATATCATTTGAGAAATGATAATTTAATAAGACGCACAGGAGGTTTTTTTTTGTTTGTTTTTTGTTTTTTTTACCCTTAGTGCTCATGTAGAAGGAAACAAAGATGTACTGCTTTCTTCTATGGGAAGAAATGTCCAGACGCCAAGCTAGTCTGGGTTATGCCACATAGCTTGAGCAACAGATTGCACTATTCTATTACTTCATCCAAATTCACTGTTTTCCCTACTGCTCCAGGGGAAATTCTATACATAAGCCCCATATCTGGCACAGGCCATTTTTCCTGCATCCTGTTGAACTGTGTTGGCTGGAGCAGAGCTTCCTCTGCTGGTGCTTGTTCCTTATCCTTCCCTACCTGTGGGAACAGGAAGGGAGGTGAAAGTTTGCTTCTTTATCCTTCCTTACTCCTGGCAAGACAAGGAGTGTTAAGCTCCCTGTTTCCTCTTTTTAAGTAAGTTTTATGACTCAAAATCAAGATTATTTTACTGAAGTTTGAGAAAAAAAAAAGTAAAAAAAAAAAAAAAAAAAAAGTAAAAATTCCTCTTGTTCTTAAAGTCTACCTGCAGTTATACACAAGGAATTGGTACCATTTGCCAGTGGGGAACAAAGGCATATAAATGTGCTATTATAAACTGTTTAGCCTGGAACTAATCTATGGTGATGGAAATAGTTATCTTCAGTGACTAGTGATTCTGTGCAAATCATTTTGTAGTTATTGCCCAAACCAGAAGAACAGTGACAAATTGTAGAAGACATTGATTAGCCCTGGATTGTTGTTGGCTCTTGGAACTTATATATGCTAAAAAATAAAGTAATTATTTAACAAATGATAAAGCAACCCCATGATAGCACCTCAAAGCTTAATGTTTGCATGTTTTGCTACATAGGTATTTAAAGAAAAAAGCTAGTACATAGTACATTTTGGAAATGTGTATAGCTGAACCTGAATATTGTTTTTTGCTCTTTTCCTTTGACATTTTTTGGAGCATTTCGTTACTTGCATTGCTTCACTAATTGCTCAATAATGAAAAAGTGCTACATTTGGATATTTTTTCCCAAGACAGTAAGTTGAGATAGAAAGCAAAACCCTGGAAAAAGGAGCATGAATATACAAGTTTGGCTTAAAAAGTCAGATAACTGAAACTTTCAACTTGCTGAAAATCTATGATCTATGTCTCAAACTCAAATGCCCACCCCTCTCCTTACTGTCTCAGAAATTAAAAAACAGAGATACGCTGGAAACAATACAACTCAGAAATTAAGTAGCTCGACTACTCTTTACAAAAATATATCTCAAAGACAGCAATGAAAGAATTTACAAGAAAATGCCTTTATGACTTACAAATAAATGTTATTGCAGAAAAACACCTGAACTGCCAAACAAACAGCTTGACTGAGTCCTCTGGCACTGCCTACAGCTTTGCAAAGCTCCCTGCCTCGGCTGACCAATTACCAGTCATCTGACAGATGCTTTTATTTTGATAGCATAAAGAAGTCTATTTTTAAAATATCTGTTCCTCCATATCTAAAATTCTGCTTCATTGAGATTAGCTGGAGGAAAAAAAAAGCATAAGGAACTGTAAAATGACTTTGGAGGAAATGAGCAAGCTTCATTGCTATATATTTTCTTTGAAAGAATTCCTTAGAAGTAAAGGAAGAGTATGGCCAGGGACTGGAAGACTGCAGTTGATAAAGGCTTGTTATTTGTCAGTGCTTATGTGTCCAAGGAAGTCTTTCAAAACACTGAAGATGAGGAAGTCCTTATTATAAATGTAAATGTTGCAATCTTACAAGAATTTGCAAGACTAAGAGTGTAAAACATTTTGTTTGTCCACCATAATAACTTGTAGACTATGCAATGGACCTCTGGTGATGAAAGGAAACAATGGGCTCTCTCTTCCTGACTTTACTCATTTATACAAAGCCTATATGATATAAAAACAAGATCCACTGTATTTCTTATAAAGATTAGCTCAATCAGCAGTCTTATTATTTGTGACTTAAAAAATTGTATTAAAACATCAGTGTTATTTTTAATTTGGTCCTTCATGTTCCCAAATTATAGAGGTTACTTTAGCACTAGACAATTTAAGGATGTAAGTGGTGCATTTAGGTCAGATACTGTCTTAATAGCTATGTTAAATTTTGCAACTACTCAAAATTCCTGAGGCATTTAAACCTCAGATTGCACTGGCTGTCCTTCTCTCTGCCAGAATGTTATTTACTGACTGTACTCCCTGCAGAACTCTCCTCTGATTTTCCCATCCTTCCTTTCACTCTCTTCACATTTCATTTATCTTTTCAAACTTCCAAGGTTTTGATCAATTGTATATTGAATGTTTTTGCTTTTTTTTTTTTTTCCACACATGTTGAATTTTAATGCTCAGTGGCCAAAATAATTCCCCTTTCCTACATATTTTAATATCTTGACTGTTTCTCTCTAGTGAAATGCTCCATTTACATTGAAAATATTTCTCTGAGAATAGCAGTGATATTTATGCTGATTTGTTCCTTGATCTGTTGCATTTTTGCCTGGAAGAGAAGGGCAGGCTGTCAAAACAGTGTGTGATTCTCTGCTGCCCCAATACTGTCATTTTTGTGGTGGGAGATTGTACCAACGGCTAGGAGAGGCAAGATATTAAAAGTGGTATTAAAAAAAACCAACAGTTGTTAGGTTGGTGTTTTACCCCTGTTGCACATGAGGAAATGACTGTGAATGGTGAAAAAGGCTGAAAATCAAGGCTTGCACATGAATAGTTTTTCTGTATTGTAACTGTCATTTAAAATGCTAGTATTGGACAGCACAGAGCAGACAAATATTTCCTCTTCTAAGGACAGAGGAAAACTGTGATACATCTAGTAGTTTTGTGTGGTCAAACATGAAATTTCAAACAAATTTCAAAGACATTTCAAATACCTTTTGCACCAAGCTTTAATATATTTTTAGTGTAATTTATTCTGAGGGCATGTCTACAAGATTGCATACAAGTCACTCACCCACCCAGCTTATAGTTCTTTCTCTGCCCTAAAGCACCAGCCTGGAAGGTTGACACTTCCCTTTTTCCACTTTGGGCACCAAGCTTGTTGCAGTTTGCACTTCTGGATTGGGGCACAGCCTCTCCTTGCAGGAAATATCTGGGAAATGGGAGAGGCACTTTCATGCTGGGCTTTCTAGAAAATGTCTGCTGCCTCGTGACTGCTGCTGGAAATGGAGATGGAGCAGGACACTGTGGTGTCTGCCTGTGAGAGCTCCCCTGAACAGGTGTAAATGTGGCTTTTTATTCCAAGTTAATAAAATGACTTGGAAAAAATGGCTATGCGGGATTTGCTGTGCATTAGTAGGGACCAGACCAGTCCATGAACTTTGCAAATATGGTGAAAGATGTGCACATGGATGGAATCGAGATGGCTATAGCTGTGGGTGAGGTGGAAAGTCGAGAGCTTTACCAATACTTGAAAGGGATGATTTCTTAATGGAAAATGTTTTCTGTGTTTAGCGATTGACATACATGCACATCATCTCTTATTTTTTTCAGGCTGTTACTGTGGCATGAATATGCAGATCTACTGGAACAGAATATTTTCACTGCAGAGAAGGCATGATGAACGTGATCCTAAAAGTAACCATTTTCCAAACTGCAGCACACAAAAATGCCAAGAGGGGAATGGGAAGCAAAAGCAGGGCTCATGGACCACATGAGCTCACTTCAAGACCTAGTGGCAGAGAGATGCCCCTCTGTCTAAAGCATTGCCCTTGGACCACTTGTAGAAGGGGGCCTGGATTGTACAGTTCTCTTTGGCAGTCAAAGCAAGTCAGAACAGCTGGGGAAGGGCTGCTGTAAGTACGTGTCTGTGGGTACTTACACTGGAACTACTTACATGCTCAAGCTAAGTTCACCTGCAAATATCTGCAGAACTGTGAATAATGAATATACCTTGTCACAAGCAATTGAAGCTTAATAGAGCTTAGTTCCTCTTCCACCCAAGTTCTGCATTCAGCTTTATAATAGACTTTGTTATACTTTATGGCATATGTTCAGAATGAGATGCTTATAGCTCAGGCGCTGGGTATGAATTATTTTTTCTTTTTAGATAAATCAAGTAAAATTTTGGAAGGAGAAATACTCTTGCTTAATGGGTATTGTTCTCTTTGTCTAATTTGTAATATTAATGCAAAATGGCTGTAAAGTGAGTATAAATGCGGTTGTCTGAACTGGTAGTTTTGTTCATTCCTTGTACTGCTGTTAGATGTTGAAAATACATAGTGTGATAATAAATTGTGCTCAATGCAGTTATCAAATGTCAGATTTGTGTACTTAGAATGCTTTTTTTGAAAGGAATTACACTATTTGTAGACTTTAATAGGAAGCATTTATGATTACAGTGTGGTGGTAAAGTCATGTATAAAGGACTTAACCTTGCAAGTAGTTTTATATTAATAAATTTGTGTATTTGTCTTGTGTCATGTTTATAGTTTGAGATGACAGAGAGATTCTGCAGCAAATTTAAGTTGAATTTCTCACAAAGAAATACATAACAGAGATATCAAAACTTTGTAGAAGAGTGTTTTAGAATAATTTTATTAAAAAAATAACATTTGAGCAGCTCTACTACATGCAATTTCAGTAAGACTGCATTTCACAAAAAGTGTGAATCCTTAGTGACAAAACATAGGTTAGATGCACTGAGATTTCCAGCCCTTTGCTTTCCTTGCTGTGCTGTGGTCTCCTGGGGGTTTCCAGAGGAATTTTCATGGGCCTTGGTGCCGTGAGGCCCTGCATAAGCCTCAGAAAACTTGCCTGGTGTTAAGGGTGGAACAGCCAGAAGAATACTGGAACACCTGATTTGTTTGCCAAGTCCTTTGCAAAAAAAAAATAAAAATAAAAAAATGAAATGAGATCGAAGAACCTGGGCTGTAAAAAAAACTCACCTTCTGCCATGTCAGCAAGCAATGAGGGTCAGAAAGTTTCTGTGTGGCTAGGAATGTGGGATCGGCCTGAAACTTGGACAAGAGCCTGTGTTAAATGTGCACTGGAGACACTACCTTGCCTTGTGAGTACAAAGAGCTGCAAGAGCTTTGTGTTTAAAGGGTACGTGCTTTATAACTACAGTCTATTTAAAACATAGATTTCGCTTTCTTTCTAATGGAGATAAGTAAGGAGAAAGATGAAGAACTCAGAATTACAAGCCATTTGTAAAACACTGTGAGTAAGCAGTCCCAAGAGTTTTTCTTCTATTTGGGAACATTTGTGAGATATCCAGTGTGTCACTATCTCAGTGTCTTTTCTCAGCAGAGATGATTTTCTTCCCAAGTTTTGTGAAGATAAGTAGAGATAGGTATTGGCTTATCAAAGGGTCATTTTCATGGACAGAAGTCAGAAAATATACACACAAAAAATGCTTTCTTCTGCAAGCGAGACACTGAATTTCTTGTCAGCTTGTGTGTAGTGATAAGTTGGTTTTCTGTGCTGAAGGTTGCCTCAGTTGATGTTAATGATGTGAGGAGAACAGAAGTGAACCTGAAACTATCCATAGCAAAATCCATTAGTTACTTAACTAGAAACACTTTCCCTCTGACACAGATGATGCTCTGCCTTTAACAGAACAGCTTTGAAAATTTCTATATAAAAGACAGCTTTAAAAGCAAGCAACACTGGGGATGGGCAACTCTCAAATGGTATGGCATGTTCTCAAATTTTGCATAACCTTTTCTTTAAGCTGACATTTTTCAAGACAAAAATAGTTACCGAGCTGAAGTTACAGAGCTGCCATGAGGAGCCATGCTACGGCTTCGTAATTAATTTTGCATCAAGTTCTGCCCTCAATTGCATTGCTGAAATTCCTGTATCTTCATTAGGGTTGACTGGGCTTAACTAGGGTGTTATTACCGTAGGATTACCTAGAGTCAAAAATTTGCTGAGTGTTGGGGGTTTAGTAATTGAAGCTGTGTTTACAGGAAACAATACAGGCAGAACAGCAGTCCCCAGATGAGGGCCACATGAAAGAGAGAATTGTGCTGTGAGACTTCACCATACTGCAGCGCTACAAGAGCAGGTGAAGCAATTCTGAGCTTTCCAGCACTACATGCTACAGCCCGGTGAGCAGCTTGGGACTGTCCTCTCACTCGCTAATAAAGCTGATCCCAAATTGATCCCCATTGGAAGCTATTTTTGGACACCCATCGCTCATATTAGCTGAGCTTCGCAGCGTGGAGGCACGGCAGCACTTATTAAACAGGATTTTTAACTGATTCGGGGTAACTTTCACACGGGCATGCTCCAGGAGAACACACAGCCGTGTGGCACCACCACCGAGCCCCCTACCCCTGCTGCCCCCTCCTGTCACCACACAGCCTCCATGCCCCCGCCCCCTCCATCGTCCCTCCCCTCCCCTCCTAGCTCCTCCTTTCGCTCCTTCCCCCCCTCTCCACACCGCTGCCGTAGGCGCCTGCGCCGTGTCCCGCCGTGTTGGCGCGGGCCGTGACGCGCTGTGCCGGGCAGGCGGGGCCAGGCGGCGGCGGGCGGGCGCGGGGAGCGGGGCCGCGCTCCCGGGCCGCGCTCGGGACTTTGGGAGCGCTGCGGAGCGGGGCCCGCGGCCGGGGCCGGGTGGGCGGCCGCGGCTCGCAGGTGAGGGAGGGGAACGTGGGGGGCGCTCCACGCTTGTCCCGCGGGGCTCGGGGTGGCGGCGGGGAGGGCTTTGCCCGCTGCGCTGCGAGGACGCGGGGAGGGGAGCGCCGCTCGCAGCCGCGGGTTGCGGGGAGGGCGCTCGGTTTGCGGCGGGGGTCGCTCGTGTGCCCTGGGGGGGGCTGCTGGGGTGATCAGGAGGGAAAGGGGGGCGCCTCCTCGGCCATCGGGAGCCCCTGCGAGGTGCAGGGGGGGGCGGTTGGGATTGGGGGGTGCGCGGAGGGGGCAGAGCGGGGTTGCCCCCGCTGGAGCTGCCCGGAGCTCCGGGACGGGGCTCGGGCGCTCCGTGCGCCTCCGAGGGCTCAAAGCGTCTTCGATTCGCCTTTCCCGGCGCTCTTCTGCGGCCCCGGGGGTCGTTGCTTCCCCCCCCCCCGGGGTTCTCCAGCTCATCGGGGGTGCTGTGGGCTCTGAATAGGGCATGCTGAGCTCTCGGTGGAGGAAGGAGTGTTAGGGGTTGTTTCTAGGGTGCAGCCATTGGGGATGGGGATGTAGCTAACTGTAGGTTGTAATCAACTTGCTGGTCTTCTCTTCACCCTACTTACGTAAAATTTAGGCCGAGAACTGCTTTTATTAGGTCCTGTTCAGGACTTTTTATCCTCATGAGAAAAGAACGATATTGACTTGAGAGCCTGTGGACTCTTGATTTGGGTTCTTTGTGTAACTCAGGAGACGCTAGGTGCATATCAGTTTTTGTACGGCGAGGGTCTCTCGAGCTTGACTGTTCTGAGTGTTAATGAAACTGATGGTGACTTGGGCTTGCTGTGAAGTGCTCATCAGAAATATCTCCCTCACCCATTTAAATATGGCTCATGAATTTGAATAGGATGCCACGGAGGAGTCTTCCTTATTCTTTCCCCAGTGAGCTACACGCAGAGATAATGCTAATGAAGAACCTTCAGGGCGCTCTCCCCACTTCTCTGATTTCACGGTAAAGCCTGTTCTGCAGTCCCACTTAATGCACTGCAGAGTGGTGATAGTGAAAAGTTTGGATAGTAACTAGGACTAAATGATATCTGGAATGCGCTTCTTATGATCTCTTTGATTCTGTGATTTTCAAAATTGTGCTTCTAAACATTTTCCTTCACTTCTGAAGTTCAGAAAATTGCAGTGTGCTGCCAGCATAAATTAGCATGCTGCTCTGCTTCAAAGAAGCAAGACTGTTTCTTGTGAGCATTGGCTCAACACCAGGTGTCAAAAATGAATTAGAGTGACTTTGCCCAAGCCAATAATTTTTTTTATTATTTTTGTGTTTCTTCTGCAGTTCTGCAAAAGGTTCACTAAGCTCCAAGTCATCTGAGGTCATGGTTCAGCTGTACCTGGTCTGTAGCAGTAATGGTGTCTTGAGGAATTTTGCTGGTTGTGGTCACACTGTCACAGCTTTTGGTGATTCCCAGACATGAAGCAGATCAGCGAAATTATCTGGCTAGAAAACAAGGCTTGTAACAAACAAAACTCTGTGATTCAGTTTGCGGTCCCACAAATGATGGGACGGCGTGGCCTTGGGGAGATGATGAGCACTGGGCTTATCTCAAACAGCCTGTGAGGCTTACTTAACACAGGGCTGAGTGGGGCGAAGCAGGGAGGGAGGATGTTCAGCTGATACCGCTATAGAAGGCAGTGCATAAGAGACTGATGATGAATCCTTCTTTAAGTTCTAAGGGCACTCAGAGGGGAAGTGAAATGTAGCTGCTGCAGAAAGGGCTCTTGTACTGGCATGTGAACTGGCTAGATGCATGGTGGGATTGGGCACACAGTAAAACCTTGCTTCTTTCCTCTGAGTTGTAGTAACCTTAAATATCTTTTTTCCTTCTGTTTTGCATCAAGGTGATAAAAATGCTGGCATTCCTTTAAAAAGAAACAAAAAACCTATACCAAACTGTCTCACTTTCAGTGTATGTCAATATACTTGTATATAGTTCTTCGACAGTGGAGAGCAAGCCCAAGATGCCTGGATATAAAGGCATAACCTCTGTTTTCAGGGGCTGTATGTTCTTACTGTGGTCCAGCTATTAGAAAGGGGTAACTAGTTTACACTACAAAGAAACGTGTTGGTAGAGACTCCACCTGAATTTGCAGTGTGTTCTCTTAGAAGTTTCTACTAGTGTTACTATATCACCTCCACGAACACTATAAACGAAGTTGTCAAAAATGTTCTTTTTCATTGTTATAGTGCTGAAGTAGCTGAGATGCTAAATACACTTACATTTTTGTTGTTGTTGTTGTTAGTCTTTTACTTGATGTATCTGTGCTGGCAAAACTTTCTGAGAAACTGTAGCGTGGCAAGGTTCAACAAATGGAAACATCTGTTAAATGCTAGCTGCCTCAGAGAGAAGGGTTTCAGTGTTTGACCGTTGCACTGTATCAATAGTAGAAAATTTTTCTAATGACTCTTAATAGCTTGTGAAAGTTGACTTAGATGGCCTCAGGCTAGGTTCACATGGATAGATGTCTTTATCACAAATCTGGCATGGTGTTTATGGGTGTCAGCGTGAGTGGGAGGTAGGTAAGAGCTTAAATGGATGGGGCAACACATGTTCTGCTTCTCTTTCAAGGTTGTCTGCTCTGAACTTTTTAAAGATTCTCACAGCTGTATTCCGCTGTCAGAATACCGCATGAAAACAT